CTGCACCATTCCACAGCAGTAAGCAGACTGCCTTAAGGAAACCGTTTCCAGCCCTCTGAAATTGGATTCAGCATTCTAGGTATGTTGGAATCAAATATGTTCCATTATATTGTTTTCTGGAGAAAGGTTAAATGGGTAGCCGAAATGCTGATGCCTTACTTTTTCTGCCATATTGAAGAAAAGATAAACAAAAAGATATGGAAAAACTACAGGGGAATTAGTTTCTTAAGACTGCCCAGGAAGGTATTTGGCAGGATTCTGATCAAAAAGGTATGAGAGGTAACAATAAGCAAATTTGGGAAGTGCAATAGATTTCTGCTAGGCAGGAAGTGTGCAGACTAGATTTGCTCTTTAGGAGATCATAACCAAATGTATGGAAGGGAGAAAGAAAGTTGACTGTGGGTTGGAAGCATATTATAGTTTCATTTCTAGAATTTTTTGCACAGACGAGTAAAAGACAGCTGCTGAATGCAGTAAGATATAGAATGCAAGTAAAGGGTATATGAGATAAATTGAATGCTTAAGGGAGATCTAAATTAAGGTATGTGATATTGCCTTGATATTGTAATGTATTTATGGAGAACCATATAAGGATCCTTATTGTGATAGAAATATGTTAACAGCAGGTATAAATACTTTGGATATGGATGATGCCTTTTTACTGGTGAAGAGACATTCCAAATCATTTACAGTGAATGTTAGATAAAATGCATGATACAGTGAGGATTATGGAATTGAAAGATAATATTACAAAGATCAAGAATGTGTGTGACAGGGGTAATAAAAAGAAAAATGATGAGATATATAGAAACAGTGAAAATTTGAGCAAGAAGTCAAATTTGTGAACCTTGATAGAATGTTTACTAAAGGTGAGGAAATGTTTAAAATGTGCAAATCCTGCTAGAAAGGTAATTGATAACATATGGTTGCAAGGAATGAAGTCAAAAGAAGTGAAAATGGGTGAGCATATGAGTTTGCTTCTTTCTACTTTGTAATCATAAAAGGCAACAAGGCATGTAAAAATGTACAAAAGTATGTTGAATATGGTAGGAATGAATTGCTGAAGAAGTGGATGTGAAGAAGAAAGTGGGTCAGCATTAAATGCATGAAGATGGAATATGGATTGATGAAAAAGTGAGTGAACCATTCCAAAGAAGTATACTGAGAGATGATTTGAACAGATCAAAAAGGAAACAAACTTGAAAACAAAAAGGATAAGTGAATGGCTGGAGAGGAAGGGAAAGACTGAGAATGTAGGGCTTGTATGAAATTGATTCAGAAAGAGAGGCATGAGACATTTAAAGAATAAATGGGAATGAAATGACGTGGCAAGAGCAAGGATAGTTTACAAAGTTAAGAAATAAAGAAGACAAGACCCTCTTATTCTGCTCATCCAATAAAAGATTCTTTGTCTAACTACTTAGAGAGTTTTACCCAGGCTAAGTGATAGTAAAACTGAAGATCTTTAACAACAT